CTGAACAGAAAGGTATTATTTTTGTGTTTTGTTTTTCAGGAGAGTGTATGTAAAAAAACCAAAGTATATGGAGTTTGCTATCATGTCTCTCTAATAAACAACAGAGTTCAAAGATGATATTTTACTGAAATGTATTTCTTATTAGAAGTATTTTCATGTCATCCCTACTTCATTGCTCTAGGAGTAAGAAAGCTGGTATATTGCTCAGATTCTCAGCTCAAAAGAAAATAAATTTTTTATTTTGCACAAAAAGGAAAAGTATGTGTCTTTCTGGAGGTATGTAAAACATGTTGAAAATTGTCAAGATCTGAGGTCCAGAAAACTTGCCTTACAATAAGAGACGAAAGGAGATCAATCTAGCTAGCTTACTGAAGAGAAGGTCAAGAGGTGGCTTGATCAGTCTTTAGGCATCAGCACACTAGAGGACTCTTTAATCTAGCAGATGGATATGTAACAAAAGCCAGTGGCTAGAGCTGAAGTCAGCAAAGTTCAAATTAGAAACAAGGCACACAATTTTAACAGGATAAACCACCATTGGTTTGGCACAGATTTCCAAAGGATGTAGTAAAATTCTCCATCACTTGGAGTTTTTAAATCAGAATTGGCTGACTTCTAAAAAGAAAAAGTGGGTGTGGTAATATCTTTTATTGGACCAACTTCTGTTGCTGAGAGACAAGGTTTTGAGCTACACAGTCACTCTACTTCAACCACAAATTGTTGGACTAGATTCAGGAGTTAAGAATGAAATTTATGGGTTGTGTAATACAGGAGGCCAGACAAGATGATCATAACAGTCCCTTCTGGGATTGAAACCAATGGATTTAAAGGTAAAATTGCCTGGCTTCACATTTTGATTCTGGTTTTGTCAGACGGGAGTGAATCACGGTTTCTGAAACCTAACGCTTTTGGTTTGCTGAGATGGATCACACCAGAGCTGGCAGGTTTTGCAAATCTTATTACTATGTTTCATCCAACAATTTGTGTCATAATGCAGACAACCTGAATAATTAAACAGTAGTACGCTGACATGTTACTTTTCATATTTGAATAAGCTGTGTCATCCTGACACAGAAGAAAGGTAGGGAAGTTTAGTTATCTGCAAATAAAAATATTAAGAGGGCAATTTTATTTTTTTTAAATATTACTTCATACTACAAAATTAGAGAAGAAACAAGGTTGGGTCCAGCACAGTCTATTGTGACACAAGGACCCATTAGTACCAGCTGGCAAAGGGTTCAATGTTCTATAACAGCAACTCCTATCAGCCTGACAAACTGACTACACCTAACACACTGCTTTCATAATATTTAGGTCATGTGAGGTGTCTAATAAAAAGGCCATGTGAGCTGTCTAATACAACTGTATGTCATATAGAGCCTCAATCATTGCAAGATGACTGTAAGGATATTTAAGGAGCTATGTGTATGTACTGAAAATATGTTTTTGAGTCTGTGTCCCAGGCATGGTTGACAAACAGGTTTTGCCAGACAAAGGGATGCATGTTCACCTATTGCCTAGGTTCACATGTAGATTAAGCATCGTAAACCAACACAATGGAAGTCCGTTTTGGACTCAACACCAGTATGTGAAAACAACTTGGAGCCAGCACACCAAGAAAGGAACCAGAGGACTCATCCTGACTCTGGAGGAAAAACAATGAGTTCTGGTAAATACAAGGAGAAGCAAGGACATTTTGTTATCCTGCATTGAGGAAGTAAATGGACAGTGTGTTTACACTCATGAAAACAGGATCTCAATGAAGATTTGGTTGAATGCACTGAAAAAGGCTTAAGGATGCGATAAACTTATTTAGACAAAAGGTAAGACTGCTAAGCTAAGTTTAGTTTTGAAGAAGTATGTTATACTTTTGCTTTATATGTAACCATTTCTCTTTCCATTATCCTTGTTCACTATCTCTTAAATCTTAGCCTTTGATAATAAACTTGTGATTGTTTTCACTATAACTATATCTCAGTGCTGTGATGTTATAAAGGACCTGATCCGGAGTTGTACCAGTCAAGTTGTACGTATACTGTTCTCTTGGGGACAAGAAACCAGGTAATTTCTGTGGGTATCCAGTGACAGGGGCTGGATACTATAAGGGAACGCTTTCAGAGGGGGCCAGGGGCTGGGGTGCACCTGTTGCTAACCTGCAAGGCAAAGTAAGGGCTAGCAGGACCCTGAGGAGATTGTTTGGGTGGTTAATGGGCTTGTGGGGTCAGGGAGCTGACATCCAATTAAGTACATGCAAATCTTCCTCTCGCCAGAGACAGGGAGGTAACAAGGTGACTCTCAGTCCTGGGTACCCTGAGAAAGTGGCACATCTATCTACAACTTCTGGAATGTAGAAATCCCAGAAGCCCATGAATGCTGGCTCTGGGTAGGCCAATCTTTTTAGTCTGAAGGTCAATTTGTTGCACAAGTCTCCTTTTTCTTTCAGCCCCCAAAATGTTTTATACTGGGAAAGACTGCACAGTGTAAGTGAGGAGTGATGTAAGTCTAGGCCAGGCGTTATTTCTCCCTTGGTTGGGAGAGCTGAAAGCATCAAGCCAGTGTGTGAAAGTATTTTGAGTAAAGCACAAGAATTCCAGAAATTCTTCTGCACCTCCTCTATCCCAATAGCAAGTGGTTACATAACACATCACCCATTTTTATTTGCAATGATGGTTCTCTAACAACTATCATCACTGCATTGGGGGACCTCTCCTACCCATACTATTAGAAGAGTTCATGGGTTTCCACCCTCCCTGCTCCCCAGCTCCTCCTTTAGCCTTTTTTTTTTTTAAACGTGAGGGGGTTTGGTTTTGGGATACCTGGTCCCTTTGTTCTTGCTGGTTCAGTTCCTGTATGGAGCAGCCCCCCAAAAGAGCCCAGTAACGTTAGCTGCAGCCCCTTTAAATTTCTTTTCCTAGTCAGCCCCATCTAGGACTTAATGAGCCTGCTTCTATACTGTTTTTAAGATCCAGGTTGTCATATGGTGATGGGGGGGGAAGGGAGAGAGATTCCATCTCTGAGCAAGGATACTTGTTGGATGTCCAATTCTGTATTCTGCAATTCCTTGCCTAGTCATTCAAAGTCTCCTCCTTCACGCTCATTGAGTCCCAATTTCTTTCCCCAACTCCTAGTCTCTCCCTCTCCCCAGTCCCAGTCTCCTTACCCCACCAGTTCCCACTTCCATCCCATTCCTCATCTGATCCGTCTTGCTCCTTGTTCCAATCTCCTTGTCCAGCCAGTCCCAGTTCTCCCATCACACCCCAGCTCCTTGCCAAATCTGTCTCTCCTCCCCCACTGCCCAGTTCCTCCCACTAGTTCCTAGTCCCCGTCTCCTTGCCCAGCCAATCCCAGTCTCCTTGTTGCTCTTCCCCCAGTTCCTTGTCCAATTTTTTTGTTCTGCACCCCCAGCCAACTGGCTCCCAGTCTCCCATCCTCTCATTTCACTCACTGGTTCCTAGGCCCAGCATCCCTTCCCCTGCGTCTGAGCCTTCTTGTCCAGCCAGTCCCAGCCTTCCCAATTCCAACTCCCAGTCACAGTTTCTCTCCTCTTCTCCAAGCCCAGAATCCTTGTCCCAATCTACTCCTTTCCCTCCAGTGCTGGTCTGGCTTTTCCCACCGTGTATTCAAATCAGATGGCTTCCTCCATCCAGCTGCCTGGGTGCCAACAGGGGCATGATCAAGAGCATAGGAGAGACGGTTTCCCTGCTCTCACTTCCAATGCCTGGTCCCACTCAGGCCTGAAGCAGCTGGGAGCAACCCTTACAGGGAAGGTCCTTTTGAGCCCCTGGGCCTCTCTGGCCAGGAGTGTGCTCAGTTGCTCTGTGGGGAGGACTCATGTACAGTCTGGTCAGCGCTATGAGGGGATGGAGCATGCTCAGTAAGGAAGTTCAGAGATTTTAGTTGTTAAGCTCTAGCAAGTCTCTACTGAGCATGTGTGGACTGTGATTTTTCAAAGGCTTATAACTTGGTCAAACTCAGGTGGATTTTCACAGGGTTGGCAAAAAGCACATCCCTGACATAAAGGCAACCTTCTGCCAAATTTCAAGTTCCTTCTCCATAGCCTGGGGGCACAACAGCATTTAACAGAAAAGGTCTCCATTTTTAATACAGGCAAAACAACCCATTTTTCCCTAGCCTCGTTCTCAGAAATGACTGAAACATTTTGTCTGAAATGTTCTAGTCCACTTTGAAGTAGACACTCAGCATGGGAAATTTAAGCCCAAATGGTTAAAGTTTGCCATAGTTATAAACACCTGAAAACAGAGTCTTATAATAACAAGTATTTGGTATCACTAATAATAGGCAGTGCTACCAGCCATGCCTGTAACACAGTTACGTAACTGGCTAATGTTATAATTTTAGAGTCCAGCTGACAAATTATCACTGCACTAAACTTTTACCTCTAGAGACCTATCTTCAAACCTGGGTTAGGTCATGTCTGAACAAGGACTTCATGGAACATCTTTAACTTATGACTACATCACACAACTAGCAGAAAACTTGGCACTATTCATCATCATTGGCAATCTTTGCTTAGAAGAGGCACAGAACTGAATAGCAGGCAATGACAGAGATGTGCAATGATAGTTGTGTGGAGAAGCTTGCACAGCACCTGTCTCATGCTTTGAAGTGCCATCAAACCATCACTTGAATGAGCATCAAGTTTACCCAAAATTTTAAACACATTATAATTTTGTTTACACGTGAATGTGTTTTGAGTTTTAATATTCAAGCAATAAAACTAATTATCCCAGCCACGTAATTCTATTTAGATTTTTAATTATATTCTAGGTTGCCTTCAAGAGATTATTATTGCACCGTTATCCGTAAGGAAACGTTCATAGGCGTTCACCCTTTTTTACTTTTGAATTCACATCTTTTTTTGTAAGTTTTAAAAAACCATCTTTGGGATACCTGGGGTTTGGAAAATACAAACTTTAAAAAAAAGCCCAACAACTTTGAAAAGACTCAGTGTTAAACTGATCTAGATTTGACTGGGTACTCACTCTGTCACATAGCTCTTCAAATGTGAAGTCTGCAATGGTTCCACAAGCTTTATTCAGCTTCAGCTCTCTGCCTTGCACTTTTAGAATCCTTGGTCTAGTTACTATGGGAACATGAACAAAGACTCAATCTTGTCTGGATAATTACTATAAAATTCATCTCTTACAGATAGGAAATGCATAGCTTGATGAATAATAGCACATGATTCAACACATAAATTAGACAAAATGCTGATACAATGACTGCCACTTGAGTGTGGCATCAACCCATATACAGCAATGGAACTTATTAATTGGTCAGTGGAGATTGGGCATTGTGTTCTAAATGTATTCTCTTTCAAGAGAAATTAACTTACGCACAATCATTTTGTTTCTGAGCCAGCTCATCAAACAACTTATCCATGACAGCCTCCACATCAGCTTCACTTGTGCTACAGTGAAAAGAATAATAGAATATGAAATTAATAACACTTGAAGCCAACATCAAACAGCTGCCTGAGCCTGCTTAGCTTTTTGCCCATAAAAAACAGAGAACAGGATGTTATGCTCTAAATACAAACATTAGATTTAGAATACACTTAAAAGCAGAGAACATTAACTCTCAGGTAGATGATTCTACCTTATTTGCATACACTGAAAGACTTCTGTGTTTTGAGCGGTTTCCAGTAATGAGGCAATACAGGCAAAGCAAATCCATTAACACTATGTGTACCCAATGAGAAAGAAAGGCTTCTGGCTCTATCCTGCATGCAAAATAAAAGCAAATAGACAAGGCAAGGCAAAGCAGTCAAGCATCTGAAGACGTATCCTTTGAAATCTCTGAGAGGGTACATTCTGAAATTAAATATTGAAATGACTATTTTAAAAAAATCAAGTCAAACTGACTGTGCTGATCAAACATTTTCAAGTTAAAGTATCAGCTTTGAAATACCAATCTGATCAATCAACATCAATAAATTTATCAGACTTCTTCCCTTGTTTGGGAAACATCAGCTATAAACAGCAAAGACTCTCACAAAATCACCTTGTGGAGCACACAAACAAACTAATCAGAAGACACTATATGGTTTATAGAGTCCAAATTTATAAGTGTCATCGTTTCTGTGACCTTTTTTCTCATTTTACTAAGCATATTATTTACACTTCTCCTTTAAAAACAGAGTATGAAACCTGATAACAGTAACAAAAAATTATTGTATATCATCAAGCCAAAACTTAAGTATACAATACTTCGTCCAAATTCATACACAGTGATCTGTCAGTGAATTTACTGTTGGTGTGGAAGTCCACCTTTAAGAAGGTATAAGAGGCAATGAAGTTTCATTGGTAGCGTAGTTGTAGGCCTTTCTTAATTGACAAATAATGATCTATCATGTTGTACTATTATTCTCTTGTTTACTGTGCCTTAAGCACTTTAACTACAATTAACATTGAAACTAATTAAAATCAACTGAATTAATTTCCAAGAGGAAATTTAACTACAAATAATGTTGTAGGTTTACAACACAAAGCTGTTCAGCATTTCTGGGGTAGAGGTGAGTGGCTGGGGGGAAACAAAACCCCACATTGTTTTAAACTGCATCATGAAGTATAAAGTCAGTCTGAAGTGCTAGGAATGTTATATTTTTCAGTGACACCTTCTGCAAGTGCCATTTCAAACAGTAACACTTATAAAAACCAAATCTTCTAAACGGGAAGTTGTGTCAGCGTAACAGTATAACTTTCTTTAATTCGTATTAGACTCTCTCATTAATAGTATTATTCCAGTGGCACATTACTGCAATGAAATGACATTAGGAAGGAAGTAGTTCAATCAGAAACAAACCAGCAAAGGGATAAGAATATTAAAAATTATTACAAAATGTTTGACTTGAGGGCTACAATGAGCAGGAAGTGCATGAATTACAGTTTTTTTAGGTAGATATTTCATTCCTAAAATTCCATACAATTCCTGAGAAGATTTGTGTTGGAAGCTGACAGTGAAACCAAGCAAGTTTACTTCGATCATCACTCTCATAACTTTGATTATTATATGCAGAGTCCATTTGAAGAGGAGTGGAATACAGTTTTATCCACATTTATTTGCATGTTTAAAATAATAGACTATGTAGATTACGAAGGAAGAAGAGGATTGTGTTTTATAAAATAATTCTAAGTGATAACACTATAGCCGTATTATATAGGTGTCCTAATGATTGCCTTTACCAGAAAATTGAGTCATGTCAGAGCACACCTGAAGGAGTCATGTTTGATGTTAAACACAATTTCGCAGTCACTGTAGACAAGGACAAGCTGCGTTTAACATTGCAGTAGTTGGTCATGGTTAAACCCTGCTTGAAGCAATAGAAATGTAATTGTAGTAGGGCTGTCAAGTGATTAAAAAAATTAATTGCAATTAGTCACGCGATTAAAAAAATTAATAGTGGTTAATCGCACTGTTAACAATAATATAATACCATTTATTTAAATATTTTTGGATGTTTTCTACATTTTCAAACATATTGATTTCAATTACAACACAGAATACAAAGTGTACAGTGCTCACTTTATATTTATTTTTGATTACAAGTATTTGCACTGTAAAAAAACCAAAAGAAATAGTAGTTTTCAATTAACCTAATATAAGTACTGTAGTGCAATCTCTTTATCATGAAAGTTGAACTTAAAAATGAAGAATTATGTAAAAAAACCCAAAACCCTGCATTCAAAAATTAAACAATGTAAAATTTTAGAGCCTGCAAGTCCACTCGGTCCTACTTCTTGTTCAGCCAATTGCTCAGACAAACAAGTTTGTTTACATTTGCAGGAGATAATGCTGCCCGCTTCTGGTTTACAATGTCACCTGAAAGTAAGAACAGGTGTTCACATGGCACTGTTGTAGCCGGTGTCCCAAGATATTTATATGCCAGATGCACTAACGATTCTTATGTCCGTTGATGCTTCAACCACCATTCCAGAGGACATGCGTCCATGCTGATGATGGGTTCTGCTCGATAACAGTCCAAAGCAGTGCGGACCCACGTATGTTCATTTTCATTATCTGAGTCAGATGCCACCAGCAGAAGGTTGATTTTCTTTTTTGGTGGTTCGGGTTCTGTAGTTTCCGCATTGAAGTGTTGCTCTTTTAAGACTTCTGAAAGCATGCTCCACACCTCGTCCCTCTCAGATTTTGGAAGGCATTTCAGATTCTTAAATCTTGGGGTAAGTGCTATAGCTATCTTTAGAAATCTCATATTGGTACCTTTGCATTTTGTCAGATCTGCAGTGAAAGCGTTCATAAAATGAACAACATGTGCTTGGTCATCATCCGAGACTGCTATAACATGAAATATATGGCAGAAGGCGGGTAAAACAGAGCGGGGGACATACAATTCTCTCCCGAGGTCAATCACAAATTTATTTAACACATTATTTTTTTAATGAGCGTCATCAGTATGGAAGCATATCCTTGGCCAAAGCATGAAGGGGCATACGAACATTTAGCATATCTGGCATGTAAATATCTTCCAATGCCGGCTACAAAAGTGCCATGCAAATGCCTGTTTTCACTTTCCTGGTGACATTGTAAATAAGAAGAGGGCAGCATTATCTCCTGTAAATGTAAACAAACTTGTTTGTTTTAGCGATTGGCTGGACAAGAAGCAGGACTGAGTGGACTTGTAGGCTCTGAAGTTTTATATTGTTTTGTTTTTGAGTGCAGTTATGTAACAAAAAGAAATCTACATTTGTAAATTGCACTTTCAGATAAAGAGATTGCACTACAATACTTGTATGAGGTGAGCTGAAAAATACTATTTCTTTAGTTTATAATTTTTACAGTGCAAATATTTGTAATAAAAAAATACATGTTGATTTCAATTACAACACAGAATACAATATATATATAAAAATGTAGAAAAATATCCAAAATATTTAATAAATTTCAATTGGCATTCTATTGTTTAACAGTGCGATTAAACTGAGATTAATCGCAATTAACTTTTTTAATCGCAATTCATTTTTTGAGTTAATCTTGTGAAGTAACTGCAATTAGTCAACAGCCCTAAATTGTAGTAAATATTATAATACTAAATTGTTTATATGGTTGATAAACAATTAATAAACCAATTCATCATCTATCAGATGTATGAAGCTTTCAGTGGCATGCTAGTCACCATTTAACTTTTAAAACTTTTTCAGGTAGCACTTAAAAGTCAATTTTTTCTATATGAAGCCTTAAAAGGAATTGCAGCTTTGTAAGTTTTGTAAATTACAGAACGGCAAACCTGATCTTTCTTTATAGTATCCTACTTCGTGCAAAAGAAGGTCCCTCAACTCCAAATTTCTGTAGCATTAGACAACACAGCCGCTCCCCCATCAATAATTAGAAGATACAACCACTCCCCCAAAAATGTAACAGGGAATCTTAATCTTCATTTAAAAAAAATAAAAATAAAAATGGAAGCTTCTAGTATTCAGTAGGATGATACTACCACTGAGGGCGGTGTCTTATTTTGGTATTTCAAGTGGGTGGTACTTATTTTGTAGATAGAGCTTGGAAGATTACTACTACATTCCCCCCCCCCCCCCACGCCTCCCCACAAAAATCTGACCTCCATTCTAAACACAGAGAAATTTCCATTTTTCAGGACACACACATACCCTGTTTATTTATCGAAATTAAAGTTGTGCTGATCATACTTATTAATAGACAGCAGGGTGTGAGGATGGTGGACAAGAATCAGTCAACAGGGGGTGGGGGGCAGAAGGAGGGGCATGGCAGAGTTGGCAGCAAAATATTTCAGAGATCTGACAAAAAATGTCAATGCCAGCTCTACAAAGACTGAAGGTCCTCGTGCATGTAAAAGAAATGTGTATTTCTATGGAGATGGTGAGAAAGGGAGGCAAAATGCATCCATCCCTCTGTTGGAGTTGCAAAGATTCTACTAATTTTTCTTTACTTCACATTACACTATTTCAGTGGTTTTCAAACTTTTTTCTGGCGATCCAGTAGAGGAAAATTGTTGATGTTCGTGACCCAACAGAGCAGGGGATGCGGGGCTTGGGGAGGGCTCAGGGCCAGGCAGAGGGTTGAGTTCAGGGGTGAGGGCTGTGGGGTGGGGCCAGGAATGAGGGGTTCAGGATGTGGGAGGGGGCTCTGGGCTGGGGCAGGCGTATGGGAGGGGGTCAGGGCTCTGGGCTGGGGGTGCAGGCTCTGGGCTGGGGCCAGGTATGAGGGGTTTGGGGTGCAGAAGGGGGCTCAGGGTTTGGGGGGCTCAGGGCAGGGGTGTAGGAGGGGGTCAGGGCTCTGGGTTGGGGCTGGGGATGAGGGGTTTGGGGAGCAGAAAGGGGCTCTGGGTTTGGGGGGACTCAGGGTTAGGGTAGGGGATTGGGGCACGGGGTTGGGATGCAGGCTTACCTCGGGGGGGGGGGGGGGGGGGGCTCCTGGTCAGCGATGCAGCCAGGGTGCAGAGGCAGGCTTCCTGCCTATCCTGGCACTGCAGAGCACGCTGCACCCCAGAAGCAGCCAGCAGCAGGTCCAGCTCCTCGGCGGAGGCGCGCAAGCGGCTCTGTGTGGCTCTTGCCCGCAGGCACCTCTCCCCGCCCCCAGCTCCCATTGGCCGTTTCCCGGCCAATGGGAGTGCGGAGCCGGTGCTCAGGGCTAGGGCAGTGCGTGGAGCCCAGTGGCCCACCCACCTAGGAGCCAGACCTGCTGCTGGCTGCTTCTGGGGCGCAGCGCAGTGTCGGAACAGGTAGGGACTAGCCTGCCTTAGCCCGGCAGCACTGTCGACAGGACTTTTAACTGCCCAGTTGACGGTGCTGACCAGAGCCTCTGTGACCCAGTGCCTTACATTCCAAGACCCAGTACTGGGTCGTGACCCACAGTTTTAAAACCACTGCACTATCTTGTGGGTTCAGGAGGCAACCAGCATCCTTTTAGTGACGGAAAGCTGGATGGGACTACCTTCAGTCTCCATCACTATCACTTGGTCATAAGTTTTGCAACTAGTATCATGTACTAGAGCACTAAGCCTTGGGGCAGATGTGTATGTCCCAGTTATGGTCCTTTAAACTGGAAGCTGTAATTGCAGGTCACATTCTTGTTCTTAATCATTTGGCTTACAGAAAACCGCATAAAGCTTTCTGCCTCTTAGGTGCGGAAGCAAACAAGACAGATCCAGGGTCAGGGCCCCGCGTGCCTCTTGGACAAAAAAGACTTGAGAGGGAAATAGGTGCAGGAAGCAAGAATCAGACGGGAAGAGTGTGGGGAGAGGCTGTGAAGACCTGGGGCAAGGGTTAGAACGAAACCCTGCTGGGTGATTATGACTGTTACAGTCCATATTTCTAAATGAATATAGAAAAGCCCTGAGTAAAAGAACTGGAACTGGACAGTTTCCTGGAGCATGATTTCACCTTTTCCAGGTGGTATCTGGCCACTTGCTTCCATACTCCTTCCCACAGAGGCTAACTATGCCAGATCCACAGTCACAGCCTTTGAATAAAAGCTCGCTTTTGGTTTCTGGGCTCCCATAAGGTACAGTACAGTACCATTACGGATTCACCAAATGTTTGTTCATTAAGTATAAGGCCTAGATCCTGCAAAGATTTACACATGCACAGTGAAGTCAGTGAGACTACTCATAGGGATAAAGTTAAAAGGTGCCTAAATCTTTGAGGGATTGAGGCCTAAATAAGTACAATTTTGATCTAATAATTCCAAGAATAAAGAAAAGCACCATGTATTTAGAAAAAAGGAAAAACTTTCTAGTATTTAAATTCTCTTCCTCTACAATGCTTTTTAATAAAATGAATACTCAAGAGTAATTTCACTGTTGTAATTTTACTAACTAGTTCTTTCTACATCTAGAGAAACAACTGTAACTCTTTAATTTTATTATGTGGTACAGAGACATTTAATTTCAAGAGGTCTGTCTCCCAGGTTGAAGCCCCTGAAGGTGCTCATAAACCTTTGTTACTGGAAACATGCTTTGCGACTACATTGTAATTACACCATGGGCAAGAAGATATTAAAACTATAAATCTCATTTAAAATAAATTTGTCTGCACCACTCTGGTTGCCACTGACCTAATGATAGACTTGCCTTAAAAGCGCGTTGGCAAAGACAAAAGTCTGTGATGCAAAGGTGTTCCAACATATTGACTCAAAGAGAAGATGTTTCTATCAGGCAGATGTATCCACTTGTACTTATGGCTGTATTGTGTATCATTTAAATATTTTTATTATGTTCAAATACAAAGTAAATGCTAAAGTAAATTCATCGTGGTAAATACAAACAGATCATCTGTCAAAATAAGACTTTTTTTTATACCCACACCCAACATTAAATGAATCCTTGTCAGAAGATTTCTATAAATACTTAATTACTTTAATACAATATGGATGTTCTTCTATTATAAGTGAATTGCACACTCTCCTACAAGAGGATATTCATTACTTTCTAACCATCTGTCACTTCAGTTCTCCAAACACCACACCTCCCCAAAAATCTAATTAGTTTTGATTCAGTTGCACATTGTAAATGAAGCTAGTGTGGATATTGAAAATGTAGTTTAATGAAGTTAACATTATGGTATAATGGAAGGCAGTCTGCTGTACAAAATGGATCAGAAGGCAAAGAAAAAAAAAGTCACACTCTTCTAATTGTATTATAAATTTTTCCTCTCCTACTGAGTGAGAAGTTATTGGCTATTAAGAAAAAAAAAGGGGTGGGGGGGGCCAAAAATCCCACAATAGTTCAACTTACAGGTAGTAAAGTTTCCCTGCTGCAGGAAGAACCCGTTTCCTATAATCTATTCCAGAATCAAGTTGGATTGTGCTGCAGTATTTCTACAGAAACAAAAGATAGCATGATTACTTTCCTCAGTTCTGGCATTAGGGAATGCAGGTTATAAAAATAAAACTAAAATACTAAAACCATACAAACACAACACAGTCAATCATACTCTGGAAAGAAAGAAGTACCCTACAACTACTTCTAATTTGTAGCAATCTTTATATTTTTTTTAGTGCAACCAAGATTATAAAAATTCTTTAACTTGACTGAAACAGAAATACAGTTTTTAAAATAATCAACTAATTAAGTTTTGTTGGGAAAAGGACTGAAGCACAGAACACAAAGATTAAAATGCTCTCCCTAGACCAATTATTTTCTTCATGCCCAACTGATGTAAGTCATAATAAGGAACATATTTTTTTATTTTTAATAAACTATTATAACCTCTCCATTTCCATATTTGAACCATAATGTATTCATGATCGCTCACTGACCCTATTGCCATAATAACTATTCAAGCAGAAAGCATAGAACCAACAGTACCAGGTTGCATACTCTTTGGGTGAAATCCTGGCCCCATATAATTCAATAGCAACTCCCTCATTAACTTCAGTGGGGCCAGCATTTCACTCTTTGACGGGGACTATGTCTTTGGGGATGAGGGGATTGGGTTTTTTTAGTTTTTTTTTTAAGTGCCCAAAACACATTTGGATAAACTTGAATCAAGAAGATAAACAATAAAGCAGAATTTTTTTCAGACAGCTCAACAATATTAAGATTACCCTTCATTCCACGAATCCATACAGTACCAAACTCCATGAAATTGTTGTGGATCTCAGCTTTCCTCTGTATTAATAGATTATCTTTAACACTCTTAGTAAAGATTTCATACTTTGTTTTTGAGAATCTTTTCATCAAAGTTTGTCTGACTGTTCGACTAGGTCTGATCATTGATCAAAATTACTTTAAGCAGATAACTAATACAATTCACAAGTGTCAAATCTAGTCTATAACAACTAGATAGCAGAAAGAATAGGTTAAGGAAACCTTAGAATACCTTCACTATAAATCTAGGAACACTCTCTTTCTGATGAGTGTGCTGCTTTCCTAGGAATTAGGAAACAAAACAAAAAGTTTTGATGAAACAAAAAGTTCACAGGAGGGGACTGTGATGATAGGGAATCTTGCTATCACTTTATAATTTTTCTTGGACATTGCTGAAGATTCTGTAGATCTAAAAGTATCAGCTGTATATTTTGATTTAGCCTTCTTCCTCCTTTTAGAAGACATAAGAGTAAAGGAAAAAAGTGAAAAGGGCACCTTAAAAGAACAAAATCCTAGGAAAGAGAATTATTAGAAATGCCTGGGAAGGAAAATAAAAACCAACTCCGCCCCGCCTAAATCAAAACAGCAACAAACCTAACATAGATTAAATGGCCACAAAAGTAAAAAACAGAGTAACATTGTAATTGGAAAAAATACGCTCTGGAGATAGGCAGCAGCATGAACAAGCAAGTGAGGGATGTTTGAACTTCCCCTTAGCATCATCTGTATCTACTGGTAAGCAAGGCAAAGTAGCAGAGCCCCAGAATTTTACAGCAAGGCTGGTGTAGTCTGCTTTTCTTTGTCAGGAAGCCGTACTCAGCATTTCACTCGCTAGAGCTTTCTAGTTCAACAGAAATGGATCAACGAAAATGTAATTTTTTTTGTCAGCCAGAGAAACAAATTTTGGCAAGAGTTATCAGTGCTCTGAGGTCATATAGATCAGCTTTGGGTCTCTGATAATGCTTTGCACTGGTTTCTTTTATCTGGAAATAGTGATCCCTCACTCTCACAGATCTTGGGAGACAGGCCAGTTCTCGCTTGCAGACAGCCCCCCAGCCTGAAAGCAAATACTCACCAGCAACCACACACCATACAACAAAAACACTAACCCAGGAACCTATCCTTGCAACAAAGCCCATTGCCAACTCTGTCCACATATCTATTCAAGGGACACCATCATAGGACCTAATAACATCAGCCACACCATCAGAGGCTCGTTCATCTGCACATCTACCAATGTGATATATGCCATCATGTGCCAGCAATGCCCCACTGCCATGTACATTGGCCAAACTGGAAAAATCTCTACGCAAAAGAATAAACAAACACAAATCCCGTCAAGAATTATAACATTCAAAAACCAGTTGGAGAATACTTCAACCTCCCTGGTCACTCAATTTCAGACCTAAAAGTCGCAATTCTCCAACAAAAAAACTTCAAAAACAAACTCCAACAAGAAACTGCAGAATTGGAATTAATTTGCAAACTGGACACCATTAAATTAGGCTTGAATAAAGACTGGGCGTGGATGGTTCATTACACAAAGTTAAAATTATTTCCCCATGATAATTTTCCCCTTACTATTACTCACACCTTCTTGTCAACTGTTTGAAATGGGCCATCCTGATTATCACTACAAAAGTTTTTTTTTCCTCCTGCTGATAATTGATTAGTCTTGTTACAGTTGGTATGGCAACACCCATTTTTTCATGTTCTCTGTGTGTGAGATATCTATATCTATCTATCTATCTTCCTACTCTATTTTCCACTGCATGCATCCGATGAAGTGGGTTTTAGCCCACGAAAGCTTATGACCAAATGAATTTGTTCGTCTCTAAGGTGCCACAAGTACTCCTCGTTTTTTTTGCTGATACAGACTAACATGGCTACCACTCTGAAACCTGTGGGTTTCTTGGAATTTTGCAGGAGATTATGGGAGTTTGACCTCATTTTCCACAATCACTTAGGGCTTTTAGGAGGCTTTTCAAAATCCTCCACTACTTCAGGGAGTTGTGGGATAGGTATCCAGAGGGTAGTGCAGCTGCAATGGAACAGAAGAGTTGGAGTATGGCTAAGGGGCAAAGTGCATCTGAAACCCGATAGCTAGTTTGGTCACACTGCACTGTAGGTACTTACAATGATGTTATCTCACTAGTTCAACTACCAATAGTTCTAATTTGCTAGGGAAGATGCTTTGCATAATTTCACTTTGCTGGTGAGGAATGGGGACCGATTATGCAGACTACTGTTATGAGCAGGGTGAAACCTTGTTACGGGTTGCGTTTAAACTTCCTTCAGAGTGATGTGTGAATGAATTCCCCATTGAAGGCAGATAAGGGCCCACATCTAAAACAAAGCCTCACAGAGTCTGCCCAGAAATAGCACTAGGTTTGGCTGGGTATTGTGATCAGACGTATGGGGGTGGGCGGCAGAACTGTGGAGAGAACACCCAGAAAACTAAAAGAAAGCCTGAAGGAGCAGCTGAAAACTCGATGGCTGACTTTGCAAGTGGTTTTTGTATCAGGGTGCAGGCTGAAACGATTGCTCTTGAGCAAAAGCAGCTGCTTCCTGCTATTAGATTCTGTCTGCATTCAGAGACACAGGACTTTGTACATTCTTTTTAAATAAACAAATCCTGCATTATAAAAATACCGATCACCAATTTCTATTCCCAACTGGAACACCCACAGGGCCCCAAAAATTGAATACTGCACGGGTCAAAAAGGGGCAACACTACTGAGGTTGGCAGAAGTACGGTAGCATTTGTTGCTACTGTTATTCATAGCTTGTTTGGCTGATGGGGAGTTTACCATTGTGAAGAAGGTAGGAGTTTGTTTTAATCATCCCAGTGATTTAATCTGTATAGTGAAGGAGTTTATGGAGATGAGAATTGTGAATATACATATTATCAATAACAGCTACGAAGTACCTTTGTTGTGCTCAATTTGTGGTTGATTCACTCTTTTGCTGTATGTCTGCCTTGCCTCCTTTTGTTCATAGGTTAGAAATCTTTTTTAGAAGTGAATTGCTATATTGATATTAAATGTAAAATGATTGGTATAGGATCACACAAAATCTATTCTGAAAAATATCTGTATTAGAAACACAAACATGCAGACTAGCTGCAATATCGAAACAGGGTAACTTTAACCAGAAGGGCAACAGAATATGTACATATCAGGGACATGAAATATACATTTTGTGGGTTTCTATTTTCTTTGCTCTGCTCATGTGCAGGGAGAGGCACAGAGATGGATTTAGGGGGATTGGAACGCAGGAGCAGTCCGATATGGAGCATTGTATTATACTGAGCAAGTGGTACAAGCACTGATTTAGGGGTCAGTTACTGGAATAGACACAATGTCTTCCTCTTTAGAAGCCTTTTGGTATTTATTAAATATTTCTCTTTGGAATGGCTGGTGCTCACACCTTGTTTCCGTGTCATGGCAGATATAGTTCATTGTAAGTTCTTTGTTGTCCTGCTCAAAGCTGTCCTGCCTTTCTAACAGTCCTGGTTTTTCATCTTCAAACCAGAGTAACTAGAATATTCATAGTCCTGTTTCATAATGCTCTTTGTATCCCTGGCCCAGGCATGCGTATTATTGTCCCAAAATTCATTGAATTGGACTTTAAAGCCAGCCTCTTACTGCCACCGCTTGCCAGAGTGATGCTATACTCGGCAAGGTGCTTCAACAGCTGGTTGTAGATGATCGTGTTCCCAACAGAGTTCAGCTGCAACAAAATCTCCTTACCTTTCTCTGTGGTCACCAGTGTCTGTATGTCTGCCACTGTCTTTTCTTTTTAAAAGTGAGATAGCTCAATGAGGCCCTAAAGCCTATTTGGCTAGGCACTGTATACAAATAACAAAAAGATGGCCCCTGCACCAAAGAGTTTATAATCTAGCTGGCAACATGCTCATAGGAAAGCTTTCTCTGAAACATGATTGCTGTTAATTAGATTGTAAGCTCTTTAGGGCAGAAACCATTTTTTCCTTATGCATGTGTGTATAGTACCTAGCATAATTGGACCCTGATCTAGGAGTGGGGCATCTAGCTGCTACCACCAAACAAATTAATAATACAAATAATAAATAATAAATCACAAAGGAGTGGATCATTGGAGAGTAAATATGCAAGAAACTGATGCTGGCAAAAGTAGCACACAAATGAGCTCTGGTGTGTGCAGTATTTTTGCAAAGGAGACTAAAGAGATTTTCATTCCAGGTTTC